GTCTGTCCAACTGTCTTTCTCTCTCTTCGGGCTCTATCCTATCGTTTACTCCTTACCCCACCCACCTCCCTATTTTCTGCATATAAACTGATGTTTTCCCAGCCACCATCAGTTCTGAGGAAGGGTCACTGGACCCGAAACGTTAACTCTGTTTTCTCCTTCACAGATGCTGCCAGACCTTCTGAGCTTTTCCAGCAACTTTGTTTTTGATAAGGATCCCCGTGCTGATCCTTGTGGTACACCACTGGACACCACCCTCCAGTTACTCAGACAGCCTTCTACCCCGCTTTCCTTTGTGTTCTATCACTAAGCTAATTTCTGATCCATCTTGCCAAGTTTCCCTGAATTCTGTGTGCCATTACTCTGAGAGTAAGCAATTTTTATCTTAGATATCACGGTCTCTCTCTTCCTTATCAGTAACCATCTTGTGTCTCTCTTCCCAAGACAATCTTATAATGTTTTTATTAACATTACTGTAGCAATTGGAACAATGTGGACCTTGTTGACTACAAGGTTCTTGATTGGGGTTATTAATCTGGCCAAACAGGAAAGCCCTGGCCGACCGATACAAACAGGGTTAATTTGATCCCTATCCATCCCTTCACTTTTTCTTTCACTTAGGCATTGCCCCCAGGAGCCTCTGCTTGCTACTGGCTCCTTGGTCACATGGGTGTTTTTCCTGGTGATTGACTATCAATAAAGTTATTTACACATCAAAAAAATAATAACCAGGAGATTAGAATCTCCTCAGTTGAGGACTGATTCTGACCTGGCTGGCCACAGGGCCATTTAGATTCTCCTCAGTTCAGGGGACTGACTGAGCTGGTTGGTCACAGCAAGTGTACTGCGCACAAGTAAATGAAGGGTGGCTTTGTGATGGGATACCGGCCTCTGTGCAGTTATTTCAGTGGCGACGGGTGAAAACAGTACATGCCTGAACAATATTCACTCGCAACAGCCATCTTGGAGTTGGGGTAGGTATTTCTGGCCTTTATTTGGGAAACTTGGCTTGTTTGATTCCACTGTCGAAGACTAGCCCCGGCATGTGAAAAAAAAGCAATATTTTTTCCAGACTAATGAAATTAGGGCAGATGAAAAGCAACAAGTAATCCTTCTGACTATTTCTATTTTCAGTTATAAGGGGCTTAAATTTACCAGAGGTGGAAATGAGGAAGCTGGAGAGAGAAGGAATCATCAGACCAGTGCAGTTTGCTGAATGGGCAGCACCAGGCATACCAATTGTGAAGCCTGATGGCTCAGTTCGCCTTTGTGGAGATTTTAAACAAATGGTAAACTGCATCTCGCAGCTGGATAAATACCCAATCCCTCACATAGAGGACTGGTATGCAAAGTTGGCGGGGGGGTGTGCTGTCTTTTACGAAGCTGGGCATGAGCCATGCCTACCTGCAACTGCAACTAGATGAGGAGTCCCAGAGGTATGCTATAATTAACAGCCATAAGCATTTATACCAATGTACACGACTACCATTTCATCAACCAGTGTTCTTTTCCAGTGGACCATGGAGAACATTTTACAAGGGCTGCCCCAGGTTGCCACCTATCTGGATGATATGCTAATAACGGGGAAGACCAATAAAGAGCACTTGGAGAACTGGGGCATAGTGCTTAAATGTTTCTCCCAGGTGGGTGTACTCCTTAGAAGAGAAAAACGTGCATTCCAGGTGCCCTAAGTGACCTAGTTAAGTTACAGAGTTGACAAAACTGGGTTACACGCATTGGAAGTTAAAGTGAGGGCATTCAAAGGAGCCCCAGCTCCCATGTCAGTTCTGGAGCTTAGGTCATTCCTTGGGTTAGTAAATTATTACAGAAGTTTCATATGTAACCTGACCTCCATCTTAGCAAATGACACCTGTTATGAAAAAAGGGTTAGACTTGGAAATGTTCATATAGCTAATAAGAAGCCTTTAGATAGTGAAAAAGCAGCTGTCATTCATCATCCATGATGTTGGCCCACTACAATCCAAAGTGAGAGGTAGTGCTGACATTTGATGACTCCCATACAGGATTGGGGTCATGTTGGCTCATTGGTCGCCCAATGGCTCATGCTCCTGCCAAATGCAAATATACTCAGATAGAGAAGGTAGGTTTGCCAGTCATCTTTGGTGTAAGGAAGTTCCACCAGTACCTGTACAGATGGGAATTTGTCATAGTAACAGAACACAAACCCCTGCTAGAGCTACTGGAGGAAGACAAGTCGGCGCTGCTCATAGCTTCCAGTAGAATTCAGCATTGGGCCCTTATTCTGAGCACATACAAATACAAGTTAGAATTCCATCCATCCAAGTGGCTAATGTAGATGCCTTGAGCCGCCTCCCACTGGCAGATACTCCACCAGTGGTGTCCCCGGAAGAGTCCATTTTGGTTTTAAATTTCCTGGACACCCTTGCAGTCACCACTGACAACATCCGACTGTGGAAACAAAAAGATCCTGTCCTAGAAAAACTAAAACAGCTGGTGCTAATGGGGGAGACAGAAGGGCCATCACAACCAGCACTGAAACATTTCTGGACCTGGCGAAACCAGATCACCGTAGACAATGACATATTACTTTGGGGAGCAAGAATGACTGTCCCAAGTAAAGATCACTGCCAGATACTGGCTGAACTCCACCAGGGTCTTCCAAGAGTTTCCAAGATGAAGATGATAACAAAAGGCTATGTCTGGTGGCCAGGGTTGGATGCCGACATAGCTATAATTAGTGGAGCAGTGCCTGGAGTGCCAACAAAGACTAAAAGTGCCACCAGTGGTAGCCCCACATTCGTGGGAATGACCAGATAAACCCTAGACTTGGTTACATGTTGGCTATGCTGGTCCTTTCATGGGCTCAATGTTCCAGATCATTGTGGATAACCATTCAAAGTGGTTGGACATACATAAAGTCAGTTTGGCAAACTCAGGGATGACATTTGAGAACCTCTGAGCATTGTTTGCGATACAACGACTCCTAAAAGTATTGGTCACGGATGATGGGACGTCATTTACCAGCAGGGAATTTGAGTATTTCTGAAGTCGAGTGGCATTGGGCAGATACGGACAGCTCCGTACCATTCATCATCCAATGTCTGGTGGAAAGAGCGGTCCAAACACTGAAGGCAGGCTTAAAGAAGCAGCCTACAGCTTCCCTCGTGACCAAATTATCCCAGTTCCTGTTTGATGATCGGACTAACTTCTCATGCAACAACAAGGACAGCTCCAGCAGAGTTGCTGATGAAGAGAAGACTCCACACCAGGTTAAATGTGATATTCCCTGGGGTGGGAGGGTGAACTGGCAGCAGGAATGCAATGCCAGCTGCACGCCTCCTCTAAGCGAGAGAGACAATTTATTGTGGGGAAAAAAGTTTATTGCCAGAACCACAGAAATGGTCCTTTATGGGTACGAGGCAAGGTGAATGCGAAGTCAGGTCTCATGATTTACAAAGTTCGGGTGGGTGATATAGTCCTGACCAACCACATGGATCACCCGAAAGCTGTTACCTCATAAACAGCACGGGGCAGACGGTGGCTCAGTGGTTAGCACTGCTGCCTCACAGCGCCAGAGATCTGGGATCAATTCCAGCCTCAGGCGACTGTCTGTGTGGAGTTTGCATGTTCTTCCTGTGTCTGCGTGGGTTTCCTCCGGGTGGTCCAGTTTCCTCCCACGGTCCAAAGACATGCAGGCTAGATGGATTGGCCATGCTAAATTTCCCGTAGTGTTCAGCGATGTGTGGATTCGGGGTTATAAGGCAATGGGTCTGGGTGGGATGATCTGAGGGACGGTGTGGACTTTTTGGGCCGAAGGGCCTTTTCCCACACTGTAGGGATTCTATGATTAAAAAAAATACACAGGCGAGGAGCAAAACATACCTAGCCCCTCAGAACAACCAAAAAGCCTGTTAGAAACTGTAGGTTTACCCCCCTCCATCTAGTGTCAAGGAAACTTTGTAGTCTGAGATGGGTGCAGCCTCGATACCACTGCCACCAGAAGAAGCAGTGGAAACTCTCTCAAGATGCTCTGGATGCAAGAGACGTGCTACAGTCGGGAACATGCTGCCTTGTCACAGTCCAAATTAGAAGAACTGGGCCTGGGGTGAAAATGTCGCAGAAAAACCTACAAGACCAGGCCTACATATCTGGACTTGGTGAAGGGGATTGGGATTGGGGGTGGTTGCAGTGATTGGAATGAGGTGGACCTTGATGACTACGAGGCCCTTGTTTGGGATTGTTAACCCAGGCGAATTCAGAGGCCCTGGCTGACCAATATACCCAGGGAATTTAGAACCCCCTCAGTTCAGGGGACCGACTGAGAGTTGGCTGGCCATAGCCAGTGTACTGTGCACAAGTAAGTAAGGGGCGACTTGTGATGGGATACTGGCCTCTGCGCAGTTATTTCAATTACCTTCTATTTACATAAGTGCCTACAGAACTCCTGCTGACACTAGCTTCTAGGATACACAAGGAATATTCAGTACAAGACTCAGCAGCTTTACTTTATAAATATCCATTAAACTCAAATGTTTGCAAAATTTGAATTTACTCTTTCAGAATGAACCTGATTATACAGTTCATTTATTTTTCTTTGTTAGAGCCAAGCTGAAGCCCACTACAAAGGTAACAAGCATGCCAGGATGGTCAAGGGGCTGGAGTCCAACAAAACTAAGCAGAAAGGGTCTGCTCCGAGGGACAGCACTAATTCCACGGTCTCCAAGATCAGCTCCACCTCACACACAGACATCACTGAAAAGAGCATTCAGAAAACAGGTTCTCCAATATATTTAGTGATTTTTATCAATGCATTCTGCATGGTGTCAACAATAATCCTTGCTGCAAATTTGCTATTCGCCCTGTGGATCTTTTCCAGTGTTAGATTACTATTTGCCTCATCCACTGATGCTGCCTCATGCATTAACCCACAAAGAGCATGGAAAAGGATTGCTTTTGCTTTGAATAAATTTTTTGAGAGTTAGTTTGATCATGACAGGATAAAAGATGACTCGCATATGATGGTTAACTGTCCCCTACATTTTCTAACACCTTCTTTTAATCTAATTCCGTCCTTAACCACCCCAAGTAGGTGGATCTTTTTAAGCTAGTTTTTATTTTGTAGTAGAACATAAAATCTCATGGCATCAATGTAAGCATAGACAAGAAAATCTCCTGCTGATTACGAAGTGTCATCCTCCCTCAGCAAATGAATCATTACTCATCCATATTGAGCAACACTTGGAGATAGTGCAGAGGATGGCAAGGGTGCAGAATATGATCTGAGTAAGGGATTTTGAATGTCCACCACAGTAGCAGTGTTGATTGAGCTGGTTGTCTGTGGCAGGTGATGAGGGAACCAACAAGAGGGAGAAACATACTTGACCTGATCCTCACCAACCTGCCTGCCGTATCTGTCTATGACAGTATTAGTAAGAGTGACCACCATTGAGTCTTTGTGGAGATGAACTTCTGCATCACATTGATAATGCATTGCATTGTGCTAAATGGCACAGTGTTCAAACGGATCTAGCAACTTAAGACTGGGCATCCAAAAAGAACTGTATGACATCAACAGCAGCAGATTATACTCCAACACAATCTGCAACCTCATGGCCTGGGATATTTCCTCTTTTACTGTTTCCATCAGGCTGAGGATCAACTCTAGCTCAAATGAAAGTGCAGGAGGGCATTCCAGGAGAATCACCAGGCAGATCTAAAAAATCGGGTGTCAACTTGGTGAAGCAGAATTACTTGCACGCCAAACAACATGAGCGGCAAGTGATAGACAGAGCTAAGCAATCCCACAACCAAGCTCTGCACTCTTGCCATATCCATTTGTGACTGATAGTGGAGAATGAGACAAGGAGGGTCCACAGATATTCCCATCCTCAGTGACAGAAGAATCCAGCATATGAGGTCAAAAGATAAGGCTGAAACATTCCCAACAATCTTTAGCCAGATATGCTGAGTGGATGATCCAGCTCAGCCTCTTCAAGAGATCCCCAAGATCACAGATACCAGTCTTTAGCCAATTCAATTCACTCCATGTGATATCAAGAAACGGTTGGAGGCACAAGGTACTGCAAAGGCTAAGGACCCAGACAATATACCAGCAATAGCTCAGAAGACTTGTACTCCAGACCTTGGTAGACGCCGAGCCAAGCTGTTCCAGTACAGCTACAATGCTGGCATCTACTCAACAACATGGAAAATTGCCCAGGTATGTCCATAAAATGCAAGACAAATTCAACCCAACTAATTACAGCCCCATCGGTCTACTCTAGATCATCAGTAGAGTGATGATTGGTGTCATCAGCAGTGCTGTCAAACAGCACCTGCTCTGCAATGACCTACTCACTGATGCCCAGTTTGGGTTCGGCCAGGTACACTAAGCTCCTTCTTACACTGGTGACATTCCTGTTCAAAATGGGACGGAGGCGAAAGCTAGGAACTGAAGGCCAATTAGCCTAACATCTATTGTTGGAAAAGTGTTAAAATCAAATATTAAAGAAGCAATAGCAACACACTTGGAAAACCATAGTCTAATCAAGCCAGGTCATCATGGCATCATGAAAGGCAGATCATGTCTGACTAATTTATCAGTTTTTTTGAGGAAGTCTCAACCAGAGTGGATAGAGGGGAATCAGTAGATGTGTTACATAGAACATAGAACAGTCCAGCACAATACAGGCCCTTCGGCCCACAATGTTGTCCCAACCTATTATCCTACTAAGATCAATCTACCCTGCATACCCTACATTTTACTATCCTCCAATGTGCCTATCCAAGAGTCGCTTAAAAGTCTCTAAAGTATCTGACTCCACTACCACTGCCGGCAGCACATTCCACACACCCACCACTCTCTGTGTAAAGAACCTACCTCTGACATCTCCCCTTTACCTTCCTCCAATCACCTTCAAATTATGCCCCCTCGTAATAGTTATTTCCACCCTGGGAAAAAAGTCTCTGACTATCCATTTTATCTATGCCTCTCATCATCTTGTAAACCTCTATCAAATCAACTCTCATCCTTCTTCACTCCATTGAAAAAAGCCCTAGCTCCCTCAACCTTTCCTCATAAGACCTGCCCGCTAGTCCAGGCAGCATCCTGGTAAATCTCCTCTGCACCCTCCCTAAAGCTTCCACATCTTTCCTGTAATGAGGTGACCAGAACTGAACACAATATTCCAAATGTGGTCTAACCAGAGTTTTATAGAGCTGCAGATTAACCTCACGGCTATTAAACTCAATTCCCCTGCCAATGAAAGCCAACACACCATATGCCTTCTTTACAACCTTATCAACTTGGATAGCAATTTTGAGGGATCTATGGACGTGGACCCCAAAATCACTCTGTTCCTCCACACTGCTGAGAATCCTGCCATTGACCCTGTATTCTGCATTCAAATTTGACCTTCCAAAATGAATCACTTCACACTTTTTTGGGTTGAATTCCATCTGCCACTTCTTTGCCCAGCTCTGCATTCTGTCAATGTCCCATTGCAACCTACAACAGCCCTCCACGCTGTCCACAACTCCACCAACCTTTGTGTCATCGGCAAACTTACTCACCCACCCTTGCACTTCCTCATCCGAGTCATTTATAAAGATCACAAAGAGCAGAGGTCCCAGAACAGATCCCTGTGGCACACCACTGGTCACCGAGTTCCAGGCTGAATACTTTCCATCTACTACTACCCTCGGTCTTCTATTGGACTGCCAGTTTTGTATCCAGACAGCCAAATTTCCCTGAATCCCATGCTTCCTTACTTTCTGAATGAGCCTACACGTGGAACCTTATCGAATGCCTTGCTAAAATCCATATACATCACATCCACTGCTCTACCTTCATCGATGTGTTTTGTCACATCCTCAAAGAATTTAATAAGCCTTGTGAGGCATGACCTGCCCCTCACAAAGCCATGCTGACTATTTCTAATCAAACTGTGCTTTTCGAAATAGTCATAAATACTATCTCTCAGAATCCTCTCCAATAATTTGCCCACCACAGAAGAAAGACTGACTGGTCTGTAATTTCCAGGATTATCCCTATTCTCTTTCTTGAACAAGGGAATGACATTTGCCACCCTCCAATCTTCTGGCACTGCTCCAGTGGACAGTGAGGATGCAAAGATCATTGCCAAAGGGGCAGCAATCTCTTCCCTCGCTTCCCGTAGTGATCTTGGACCCTTCTGGCCCAGGGGATTATCTATCATGTTTTTCAAGATTTCTAGCGCATCCTCCTTCCTAACAACAACCTGTTCGAGCATATCTGCCTGTTTCATGCTGTCCTCACAAACGTCCCAAGGTCCCTCTCACTGATGAATACTAAAGCAAAGTATTCATTAAGGACCTCCCCTACCTCCTCTGACTCCTCACATATGTATAGAAAGCCTTGGGGTTTTCCTTGATCCTACCCGCCAAGTTTTTCTTACACCTGCTTCTAACTCTCCTAAGTCCATTCTTCAGTTCCTTCCTGGCTACCTTGTAGACCTCTAGAGCCCTGTCCGATCCTTGCTTCCGCAACCTTAAGTAAGCTTCCTTCTTTCTCTTGACTAGGTGTTCAACATGTCTTGTCATCCAAGGTTCCTTCATCCTTTCCTTGCCTCAGTGGGACAAACCCAGTACCTGTAGCAACTGCTTCCTAAACAACCTCCACATTTCTATTGTGTATTTCCCCGAGAACATCTGATCCCAATTGGTGCTCCATAGTTCTTGCCTAATAGCATTGTAATTCCCCCTCCCCCAATTAAATACTTTCTCATACTGTCTGCTCCCATCCCTCTCCATGACCATAGGAAAAGCCAGGGAGTTGTGGTCACTATCACTGAAATGCTCTCCCACTGAGAGATCTGACACCTGACCTGGTTCGTTGCCAAGCACCAAATCCAATAAAGCCTCCTCATTAGTCGGCCTATCTACATATTGAGTCAGAAATCCTTCCTGGACACACCTGACAAAATCTGCTCCATCCAAGCTATTTGCACTTGGGAGGTTCCAGTTACATTTTGGACTTCCAGAAGACATTTGACAAGGTACCTCACAAAAGGTTAAATCATACGATAAGAGCCCAGGGCGCTGGAAATAGTACATTGCCATGGATGGACACTTGGATAATGGGCAGGAAACAGTGAGTTGGAATAATGGATTCATTGGGTATGAGATCAACTGGGGGCCAATCTAGAAGCTCTGGCAGACAGATATAAACAGGAGTCTCAGAGATTCTCCTCATTTTAGGGACTAGCTTTGAGGTAGCTGGTTAGAGTCTACATACTGTGCACACATATATAAAGGGTGACTTGGAGATGGGATTCTGGTCTCTGTGGAGTTATTTCAGTGATGACGGGAGAAAGCAATACGCTGCTGAAGCAAATTCGCTCGCAACAGTCACCTTTGATTTGGTGTAAATATTTCTACTATCATACCTTTCTTTAGGAAGCTTGACTCATTTTTCCAGCAAAGACTGAGCCCAGTACGTGGAAAGAATGTGTCTTTTTTTCCAAGCAAACAACATTGGGGCAGATGAAAAGCAATGAACAATTCTTCTGACTGAATGTTGCCTTGCAGCATTTTCAGTTATTAGGAGCCTTACTTTCCCTGAGGCACCAGAAACTAAAGCCTTTCATTTGTTGATGGATTTGGTTCAGGAATATAATGACCCCAAGCCGCTTCCTAATTCTGAGGCGCTATCGGTTTTATTTAGCAGTTCAAGTACCAGGGGAATCCATATCGGGGTTTTTGATAAGGTTAAGACGGCTGGCAGAGGTATGTGATTT